CGTCTGAGCGTGGTTCATGGTTGTGTTACTCCTATGAAGATAAATATTGAGAAACAAACCTGTTTATTGTTCCTCCTCCGGGTCCTGTGCTTTGGTGTGACTTGACCCAGATACGGATGGCCACTCACACTGCTGGGGGAGTTGCACACGTGGCTTTCCGAAGCCCGGTACTGAGACAGCACAGTTTATTGGTGCGTTCCCAGCAAGACCTGAGGCAGATTGCTTTGTGTGGGGGTTGTGGACCACGAGGGAGAACAGGAACATTGGGAGCGCTGAGGGAGCCTGCCAGCTCTTGTAATTATCTTGTAATAATTTGCTTGCAAGCTCCCTAAGCCCTGCTACTCTTTTTGGAAACAATAAACTTTCGCTGGGAAGCAGTGACACAGCTGTGTCTGTCTGGAGATGATTTTGAAAGCCTGCCTTCTGCTCTGCAAAGCATAAACTGCCAAAACAGTGAAAAATGACTGTTTTCTTGGGGAAACCCTTTGGCTTCAGTGAACTGAGATTGAGCCCAAAGCTGATTTTCTAAGGAGTTGTGTGCATGAATTATTTCCAAAAAGATGAAATGCAAACTTAGTGGAATTCCTGAGCCAGGCCAATTTTTTTGGAGGGGGGAAAAATTGGACCATTGCTCTAAATGGCATTTAACCAGGTCTCCGTATCCTCCAGATGCTGCCTTATATGGCAGCTGTCAGCTAAAGAGGAGGCTTGGGTGAAATTACTGCTGGGAAGTGTCCTTGCTGGGGCCGCTCAGCCCCTTGTCCTGCAGAGGAATCGGTGTGGGCAGAAGCAGCGGTTGGGAGAGCTCTGCTGCAATGGGGATGTGCAGAGCTTGTCCAAGCCTATTCCTGGTGGCTCTGGAGGCTGGAGAGGCCCTGTTGGTGTTTTCCAGTGGGTCTGCTGAACCTCCACCGATGACTCTCTTGAGAGAAGACCCCTCTGGCCTCCACACTGCCCTTGGCACAGCAGCTCTTGTAGGGCGGCAGACAGAGGAGGCAGCTTTGCTATTATCTTCCTCCATGTCTGCACATAGGAAATGCTTGTCTTTCCCCGTCTCCTCCCTCTACGATGCCTGAACTGGGGCAGTGGTGCTGCCCTGTCCGATTTACTTGGCATGAAAGCCTGTGATCGGAGATAAGCCTGTCACCCTAGCTGTCTTCAGAGGTCTTTGGTCTTGTGTGGGTTGTACATGGATGTCAGCTATGACTCTTAACTGGAAGGGGGTGTAAGTTAGCCATCACACTGGCCTTTTTTGGGCATGGGGAGGGAAAGGATGCTCTTTTAATAAAATCTGGATTTTCCCCCTGCCCCCCGTGATGATGAAGAGGAAAGGTATGAGGGTTCAAAACAGCTTTCTGTAGAGCTGGCGAGGACAAAGGGCTAAAGTGATGTTTGAGTTGGATTTCAGTGGGTGCTTGTGTTTGCAAGGGGCAGTAACCAGTGTGTGGATTGTCCCACCCCCTCTGCAATCAGGGACTCTCTTCAAGTCCTACCCAACACCCTGCTAAGACAACAAACAAATAAAGCAGGTATATGTAACTGCTATCAAACACTGTCCTTAGGACATAGTATGTGCTTCCGGCAGCCCTTGCCTTGCTAACAGGTGAACAAATACAGATGGCAAACTGAAATTTAAACAAATAAAAAAAAACCCAAACAGCTCTCTCGCACTGGAATTGGCAGGGCTAATCTCTAGATGTAGGCCAGCCTTGAAATGAGCCCGCCTGATCCCATGGACTTCACTTGTTTCCTCCAAGTGTTTCTTTAATTTACAGTAACAATTGCTCTGCAGCTTTATTAATCTCGATCCCAGTCCAGAAGTGGCGCAATGTGATTTCCTCATGTGGCTGCCGCTGTTGCGAGGGCTTTCGCGTCACGGTTTCCTGTTGACTCAAATGTTCTTTTCTTACTTTTGCTGACGTCAAACAGAGATAGCAGATGCAGGGAAAGAGGGTTCTGAGCAATACGAAATAGAAAAATAGAAATGCAAGGATTTCAGCATTAAGCCCTGTCAAAAAACACCCCAGCTTTCAACTCCTCCTAATTCCTGCTGGTAGTCCCCAAAAAAGGAGGCACATAACTCTAAGTCAGCTCAAATTTGCAAGTATCTGAACTATTTGCTGTTTTAAGATTTCCTTTTCCTGGCCCCTTTTTTAAGCTATTTATTCACCCTTACTCTGCCTGTTGCAAATTGCCTTTTTTCATAAAATACCACTGTTTATTTTACTTCTCAATGATTCCTGGGAGAGTGGTTGGTCTTTGCAGTTTGGCAAGCTGATGGCCTTGCTTAAGAGTAAAAGTGGAAGACCTTGCTTGGCTCTTAGATCCTGGTCCCCAAAGGGTGGTCATTAGTGCTGATCTTTCTAATAATCATTGCATCATATGTAGCAGACCAATGCACGAATGGTGTATTATAAAGAAGTTGTAATACTCACCCTGCTCTTTTCTTCAGCAACCCCATGGGATTTCTAAGTGTTAGAAAACTGGACAGACAATTAGCTGGACCTCTTAAAGAAAAAAAAAATAAAAAATTGGGTAGTCCAAAGTTCTGTTAGGCCTAATTGGGAGAGCTTCAGTAATTAAATAATCCATATTTATGCTCGACCTGTGAAATGAGACCATGGGTGGAGGTGAGGCGTTAGCTGTTACACTTGTGAGCACCATGTAACACACGCAATGATACTTGCTCAGGTTTGCAGTTAGTCTGAAGCAAGAGCTGTTTGTAACAAAAAGCTGCTAATTCCATGTTAGCAGTGATGTGAATTTTAAAACCGGTTGTTTCTGTGCTCACCTGAACATTTGAGAAAGAAGAAGCAGTATCTTCCTTTAAGCATCGTGGTACAGATGGGTACATCCAGAAGTCTGAGATGGGCCGTGGAGTTTTGCCAGCACTGGAGAAGCAGGACGTGTTTTTTTTTTTTCAGATAAGAAGAGTTAACTTTGTTTCCCTGAAGTTCGCCTTTAAGGAAAGAGTGGAAAAGATATGTATGTTCACCTAACTGTATGCATGTTTATACAAGCGTATATATTACATAAATACACACACATCCCTCGTCAGGTTGCTGGTAAATTAAATTACTTCCTGTTGGAGATCTGGCAAGAGGGATTTCTTTTTTTAAGTACGGGCTTGAAGAGATGCCTGGACAAGCCGGGCTAGATAAGCACGTGGCTTGTGGCGAGATCAGCGAGGAAGGAGGCAGGAAAGAGTAACAAGGAGATGTAAAAGCTGGCCCGACTGGCGAGGCAGAGGCGCTGTCTGCGCTGCAGCTGGAGGAGGGATTGCTGAACGGGTAGGCACGGCATAGCCAGACTCAGTTTAACCAACTGCAGCGAAGATGTGGCATTAGAGATCTGATGTGGGCTAAAGAGCCAAGGTTGCTGGAGGGTTTGCACAGTTTGTGCTGCTCTGGCTTAGACTGCTGCTGTAGACGAGCCAGCTTGGGTGTCTTTCAGCAGCCTTATAATAAAGGCAGAGTGACACAATGAAGTATTGTTGTTTATATGGGCTGGAGATAGCACTTAACACCCAGCCTTGGTGCTACACGCAGTAGTGTTGGAGATTGCTGGGAACGCATCTATCTTAGCTTCTGGAAGGAGCCCAGAAGGAGCTGTTGAGGCAGAGCCCAGGATGGTGACGAGAAGCAAGCTGTCCTCATTTGTCACGAGCAGTTTGCTTTCCTGCTTATGTCCAGAGAGGAATGAAAGGATTCCTGGTTGCTTTTCTGCTGTGTGCATCTCAAGATGTTAATACCAGTAGTCATTTCAAGCTGGCTGGCTGCCAGAAAGTGGAGCATAACAATGCTTATCCTCTTAAACTTAGAGAGGGTTTAAAACTAGCTTATAGATGATTAATATCAGACCTGGGAAGGGGCTTGTGGGGAAAGAAGGGCAAATAGTACCATTAAAAGGCTGACTGGTCTCAACTGGCTTGTATGCCTCTTTTCCAGTCCGCTTGTTCCTGATATTCAGAGTAAAACTGAAACACTCAATACTGAATGTCCTGAAACAATTACTAGGGGAAATTTTTGAACCAGACTGCAACAATTCTAGGGTTTAGTTTTGTGACAAATGACTGTCCTTCCTCTCGCAATTAAGCGAGCGCCCCTTTCGCATGCATTAAACCCATACCCAGGCTGTTGAGCATGCAGCTTAAGCAAGCGCCTCCCAATCTGTAGACTTTTGCAAAAACCAGAACAAAGCCAAAAAAGAAACCTCAGAGACCAGCAGCTGTGGTTAATGAGTTGAACTTTATTGAACAGTTGCTTTTCTGCCCAGCAGAAACTTTGGTTTATACTTCGTCCTTATCAGTTCCTTCATCGCCCAGAGGTCTCTGCAGGTTAATCAGAGGAAAGCTGAAATCCAAGAGCCCAAAAGGCAGCTGCCATGCAAGTGTATGGCAGAAAATCCCATTCTGGAAAACAACGCATGTTCCCTAGAAATAGTGTCGGGATACCCTCGAGACAAGGTCATCATTGCTGTTCCTGAGCCCTTGTGCTGTCGTGGCAAAGCTGGAGCCTGTGAGCAGTCTGGTTATGCACATTATATTATGGAGCATCTTCCCCCAGAGAGCCGAGGTGTTTAGTAGGGAGCAAGTGACTCTTTACAGATTTCTCTTGTGCCCACTCAGCTCAGAGAGTGCTATTGAAGGGGTATCATCCTCTGCTGGATTCAGGCTAAGGACAGTTTGGGAAACCCTCCAGGACTTGGTTAGTGATGAGCACGCACCTACTGATATGCCTAATCCACATGTGAACAGGAATTCATTTCATTACTGGGGGCAAAATTTTGGGTGGGAATGCAGGGCAAGGAGGTACTAACAGATCTTCCTGGTATTGACTTAATCTTTCCTGAAAAAGTCAGGATTTTTTTTCCTGCCCCAACGTCTCATGGGTGCTTAATCTGTTCTTGTTTGGGAGATACTAGTTTTACTTAGAATTTTCTAAGCCTGACAGAGGATATGATTAATGCTGTTCATATCTGTTGTGTTTGCGTGTGTGAAGGATCGCCTGTTCTTTGTGATGGAGTTCGTAAATGGCGGGGACTTGATGTTCCATATTCAGAAGTCGCGTCGCTTCGATGAAGATCGGGCCCGGTTCTATGCTGCAGAAATTATTTCAGCCCTTATGTTTCTCCATGAAAGAGGCATCATTTATCGGTGAGCTCTGCATTCATTCATTCATTCTCTTTGTCTGAACCCCACGGCTGAGATGATAGCTTGAGTTTTCTGCTTGAATAAATAACTGTCACTTGCTGCCCACCAGGAACAAGTTGTCAGCTGGGATAACAGTACCTCCGCTTTCCCCCTGCGCATTGTCCAAGGTGCACCAGCTTCCAGGAAGGAGTGACATTTCTGGCCGCAGTATTGACGACAGGGAGGGTCTTCCTATGGCGTGTGTGTGAGCACATAGAAAAACAGGTCTTCCTTCCAAGGCACAGGGGCTAGATTTTGCGTTGGTGTAAATTCACGTTGCTCTGCAGACGTAGCTGGTTTATAGCAGCTCCAGAACTGCCCTTTGTCTGCACCTCAGGTGCCTGCCTGGCTGCTGGGCGTTAGCTGCTGACCAGCAGAAGCCTCCACCGTGCCGCTCTGGGCCTGTCCTGCCACCGTGGAGCACAGGTCAAACTGATGACAAAGGGAGAGGCATTAAGTGAAACCTTCCTAGATTTGCTGGGAGGTAAATGCAAGGAGCTGTTGCTTTTGCCACTGTGTGCCTTGTTATTTAAAGGCTAATATGTGCTGGTTACATTCAGGCCTCTTTGTTTCCCTGCATTAGCTACGGGCCCGTGTTTAAACCCTATCTATTTGACATACCTATCCAGTGCCTGTCAGCTCAGCCACTAAAAGTCTTTTCATTCCTGCCATGATCCTACAGCAGGAGTTTTTCTTTCCTGTCCATGCCTGGCGTCTTTGTGTTTGCAAGAGGATAGGAGCATCATTGCCTCCCCGGTGCCAGCCTCCGCTCCCAGGTCTCAAGGCTGTTGTCAGGAAGCTGTTTCCCATACACAGCACTCTTTTTTTTGTCATTCCTCTGTACTCAGGGGGGCAGTTTGGTTATATTTGTTCCCTTCTATACTGCCAAAGTGCTCCACTGTCGGCTCAAGCATCAAGGCATGGATCAGGCAGCCAGTCTGCTTTGCAGAGGCCTCCCTGACCAAGATGACCATTCGACCAGCATCCTCCCGTGTAAGCCAGGGGCAGAGCAAGAGCTCTTCTGGGGTGGAACAGGACAGCTAGAGCAGAGAGGTGCCAGCACTGAGACAGTCTGGTTATACAGAAAGGTTTCTTTCTGACATGCTTTGCAGAACACCTCTGGCACCCTCTTGTCCAGAGCACTGGAAAGGAGGAACAGTCAATTGTTTTCTCTGGATACTGTTACCTGGCTTCCAGCAGCAAAGCATGCATATTTGGGTATGGTCTGCTCTAGCCCTGCTCGGTCCCACTTGTGGCATGCCAGCACTGCAAAGAACAACATCACCTCTCTCTTTTTGGTGCTTGGCTATGATGGTACAGCTGGGACCCACAACTGGGTCCAGGATGGGACCAGTTCCAATCCCAGTCAGGCTCTCTTAATACCATTTCAGACTGTGGGTTGGGCCAAATGCTGTTGGGGCTTTGCATTGTTTAACCCAGGCAATGCAGTCCTGTGTTTAGTAGTGCATCCTCCCTTATCGGATAAACCCCGGTTTGAGCACACCGAAACCAGAATAGCTGAGGGCTAAAGTGGCCAAAGGGCTGGGGGCTGTGCAGGGAAAACTTTCCTATCTGGTGGTGAGATGATAGGATAAATCAAGTAAAAGCAACTTCTCTTTATCTTCCTAGCTTGAGCTCCAGTAAGAAACAGATGGTCAGGTGAGGACAGAGAATATTAAATTATCTTTAAGTATGAAATCATAGGATATATGTGGCACGGTGAAATAGAGAAGGAGTGTCATTTTAATATTCTCCAGGTCCTGAGAGTATGAAAATTACTAGTGATATATACCATATGTATTGAGCTTCTAAAGCACTGTGATTGTCTGCATAGAATAGCAAATCTACTTACTCTACAACTGGATTTCAGTCTAATTCTTCCCTTGTGAATAATGCCAGCCGCTGAAGACAGACCCTGCCAGATAATTACACAAATGACATTATCCTTAAAATAGTGACATCCAGTAGTTATTGTCAATCATTCAGCAGCAAAACTGTGTCTGTGCATAATGTAATGCCACTGTGCTTACAGCTTGTCCTGTCCCCCCTAGCCTGCTGCCTGTCACAGGGCAGGAGTAATCAATCCCTCTGGGTTTTGGCACACTTCAAGTTCTGCCGTAATTCATGATAGAAACTGGAGGAGTAATTGAAAAGCTCCTTGAACAACTGCACAGGCTTTGATCTTGTTGAGAAACTGGTTGAGCCGTGGAGTCAGGTAGCTTCAGCTGATTGGGGCAGATTTGCACGGGGATGACTTGTTTTTTTAAAATTAGTCGGGGTGACTCCATTCTGGAAGATGTCAGAGGAGAGAGCTGCTGGCTGCGGCTGTACTGAGCTGAGGTTGCTTCTGTCAGGTCATGAACACCGGGCTCCAGGAGGGAGTCTGCAGGTTGGAAGGAGATACTCAGAAGGGAATCACTGCACTTGTGTAAGAGTTTGGAGATTTTATGATCAGAATGTGAGTGCTTGCTTAGGAAGCTGGGAGCAGGGGGGAGAGACACCAGGAAAAAAGCCTGACCAGAAAGTGTTTTGCCACAAGCTGTTTAAAGTGCCTCTTCTCTCTGGATTCCCAGGGTCAATGGAGTAAGAGAGTTGCTGGCCTAGAATACCAGTGCTAAACTGGGCTAAACTTAAACATAGTAATACTGTATTTTTTCCTGCCCCCTTCAAGATAAAGCAGTTCAGGAGAGAGTCTGTATTTACCAGCACAATGAGCGTTCTCCTGGTAAGTCAAGTTGCTTTTGCCACAAGTGCTGCCAAAAGCTGCGTCTTCTCTCCTTTGAAATGCCGGAGAGGCTTGAGAGCCAGCACTGAAAGTTCATCAAGAAGTAGCTGAAATATGTCACTTGGCCTGGGGTGACAATGCTGGTAACAGCTAAAATCAGGTGTTTGTTGATTCCTTTTCCAGCCACATACGCAATTTGAAATAGCCATAGTGCAGTATTTCTGCAATTGCTACTGTGAGTCCATGAGAATGGGGTTCCTGAGGCAGATAGCGTATTTTGGTTATATGTGACTTTTTAAACATCAAAACAAGGCTTACTGCTGGATTAGTGCTCTCATAGGATGGTTTTCATGACGCAACTGAAATTTTCAGTAAGTTTGCTTCTCACTTCAAGGAAAGTCTGCTTTCTGTTTTTTAAGCCCTGGCCAGAATAGAAGTCACATAAACGTACATGTGTGTATTTGGGTTTTTTTTTAAAAGAGAGGTTTCAGTTTCACAGATTTTTTTTTTTTTTTTTTTTTCATTTGCAACACTGCAAAGGAGAGATGGCTTTCTGGCCTTATCAAGGAAACATCTCTGTCTTGCCCTAAGCTGAGGTTTAGCTGTCAACTCAGCAGTGCCTATTTATAGGTGCTCCCTGAAAAAAATGTTGACAAGTACAGTGTGGTTCCTTATCCCATCATACAGGGGGTAGGGCTAGAATGAATCCAGCCATGAAAGCAAGCTTTTCGACATGTCAAATCATAGTATATTGTGCACCCCACAGAGGAGTAGGACAAGGACATATTTGGGATCAGCTCCTGCTGTATGTTGTCAGGAAAAAGTTAGGCGATAACCAAAGCTATTATAGATAAAATCTTTGCTCACAGGGCAGTATACTTGCACTGCTGCTTTGTTTAAGCTTATTTCTAAAGGAAAATAGTATGCTGGGTCCTGTTGCAGGTGGGTGGGTTGGTTTGTGATTTTTATCTAAAGACTGTATGTGCTATTTTTCTTGAAGCAGCTTTTCCCGACTTTCACTTTCCAATTCGGCACTTTCCAGGGTAGGGGAAGCCTATTTTGGCTTCTGTGCATGCCGGAAACAAAACGTAACGGCATGCACATCTGAGCAGTATTAGATTGCACAGTGGCTTACTCAATGGAAGTGAGCTAGTCCACTCGTAGTCTTCTAAAAAGCAAAGAGATAGTAAATGCTTATAAGGGTTTGTTTTGAAAGCAGGACTTTTCCTTCCATGTAGCATTACTGTAAGAATGGCTGGTCTGCTCTGCTGTCCTCAAATTCAAACCTTTGCATAGGTTGATGTACAGCTTTGCTAGTGGATGGGTCTACTTGCCAAGGTCACCTACATGGTTTCCCTCAATAGAGGCATCTACCTGCATAATGAGGGCAAATGCAAATGTTTTCTTAAACTTGGTTGGTGGGGGGGGAGTGGGGAGGGTGGCAGGGGAGAGGGCCTAGGGGTTTGCCCTGCGACTCCTCATATTTCAGAAGGATAACAGCCTTTTTACAGGCAACATGGAGCAATCAACACAACCCAATGGCATGGTCTTGATTTTTATGACAAAACTTCTTTCTCTTCCTCTGCAAATGTGTCTTGCTGGTAGGATGCATGGGCTGAGATAGTCACTTTTCAGAACATGTCTCCACTACCTGCAGAGGTGATACAGCGTGCAGTACATGGTGACAAACCTCAGCTAACCGCGGGCTAGCTATACCTGGAAGCAGAGGCAGTGTCACCTTTGTACCCTGCACTTCAATGCTGGTTTTGCTATCCCTGGGTATGGAGTGGGATAGTAGAGAGAGATACGTGACCCAGCCCACTGCTTGGCACAGCACAGTGGCAGATATATCATTAAGGGTATAGATAGTATAGCATGTAGGTAATATACCTGATCAAGAGCCAGACGAGCTGAAAGGCTGGGCTAGAGAGCTTGGGAGAAGGACTGGTTGTTGGCTGGCTGAAGAACCTTGTTTTTATCCTGAGGGCTCGTGCTAGTTAGCTTATTCCACTGCCTTTGTGTCTGTATTGATATTTCTAATGTAGCTGGCCCTTCTAGAGATGTTTGGGGTCTGCTTGTGCTCCGTCACGCCTCTGAATGTGGGATGGTGTGCAGAGTCCCCATGCTCTGATGTGGCACCAGCCGCCGAGATAAAAGGCAGCAAACTATTAAGTAGGTCCCGTAACTTGACTGTAGTCATAGGATGACTACACTATGCTGTGTAATAGGATGCATGGTC